TGCAAGCAGAGAACTGCAGGAGTAGGTTCAAGTGGCACTTTTAGAAGATTTTAACACTCAAAAAAGAAACCAGTAAATATGAATAATTAAAAAGAAACTTACTGTTCTATCGGTAACTTCTACATCTGTGAAACAAACATGCTGCTACTCAGTTCATCTACTGATAACTGGGATATCTACAGTAAAAGAGATTTCACGTTAACATTTTCTTGGGACCATTCCTCAGTGCTCCTTTAAGACGAATCAATACATATAACCCTGGGCAAAGCAGTGTCTTGGAGAACACAAATGGATGCTGCATCTCTCTCTTCCCAGGCACAAGTAGCTACGTAGTCACGTCATCATTAAAGCCCAGTGAGTACATGGTGATTGTACTTGGGGGAGTCCAGCTCCATAAACTGTCGGACAGCAAAATGCCCTGTCCACTGCCGTTTGGAGCGCACACAGCCAAGCACTAACACTGCACAGCAACAGGTGTCATCTTCTTGGGGCTCTATGATGATCAGAACGGCTGGATCTGAAACTAGCAAAAACCAGAGAAGCAAACCAGATTTCGCTAGAGTGGGCAGAGCAGCATCTCCACCCGGCTGATTCTGAGCTCGGGCAAAACTCCCATTACAATCCACAAGACGCTGTGTCTGCGTGAAGCTTGCCAGAGATGTATTGGCTCTGCCCTCGGTAATTACTGAGGTATTCTAGTTAGCTGTGCCCAGGAGAACAAGGTGATACCTGCTTTTCTGTGAGCGGCTCTGAACCTGAGCATAGCCATGAATTAAATACAACTGCAAACATTACAACTGGAAAAAAATACTGCTCCAAATTCTATGCTGGCCTAATCGGGAGACAGGGCAGTCAATGTTCCCTCTCATCTTTTCCATTTGTGTGGGGGACATTTTGTGATGCACACCAAGGCCTGTGTAACTGTGCACCCTCAGGAGAAACCAAAACACCTCTGCTAATCAGCCGGGCAGCACTGGAATCTCTCTGGAATGGCTGCCCAAGTGCCTACCTCACAGGGAGCGCAGGCTGTGGCTTAGTGAGCGGAAGGAAGCGTTCCTAAGATTTTGCGCACTCGGGGCTAGGGCGGAAGCAGCCATCTCAGTTTAATACCGTCAGAGCCACGGTTTGGAGAGAATGACGGCTAGGCAAACATGCATGGCGTTCTTCGTGTTACCGGCACTGGCAAACCAGTACGCTGGAAGTACTGTCGGGATAGGTGAGTTGCCTCTGCTTTAACACACATGAACCTTCACCCGTGTTCACTGAGAACAGAGGCTTGGGTTTTCCCCCCACTTCCTCTGCCCAGCCAGGGCCAGGCAGGCCCAAGCCCCTCAGGCAAGCCCGGTCCTCAGGGGTCCTTTCCAGCTTGGGAGAAAGCCTCTTTCCTTTGTGAGTTTGCACGACTCCGGAGAGCGGCAGAACGTGGGGACGTTTCCCACGAGCCTCCAGGATTAGGGAGGCTTCCTCCGCCGGCATCTGAAGTCTGGCCTTTCCGAGGCTTGTCCCATGGCTATCACCACGGCGACCGGAGACCCACCCGCACCCCCTCACCGATCCCAAAAGCATACGTGCTGCCTTGGGAAGGGCCCGATCCCGCGCGAGGCCCAGCGCCCTATCAGAGGTTCTGACCCCCCTCCGGGCCGCGCAGGGCGTGACGGGGCGAGGCAGGGCGCCTCGCCCCGGATCGGGCCCCTCCGAGGCGCTGACCACGTGAAAGAAAGCCATTGAAAGGGCCAAACCTGATTGGCTGTCGCTGTTGCAGCGAAGGGGACGCTGGTGGCAGGAGTTGTTGCTGCAGACACAGTGGTGGGCGTAGCACCGTGCATCACGGGCACTTTCAGGAGGGAGCCATGGAAGCGACATACGGGAAGGGTGGCGCGTTTATTGGAACCATGGCAACATGTGGCGGATTGGGGGGCGTGGCAGGTATCACAGCAACAAAGCCATGTGACATCGTCATGAAGGAGACACCGGGGCGCAGCATGCAATCACAGTGCAAAGCAAGACAGCGTTGGAAACAAAACAAAACAAAACAAAAAAAGAGAAAAGGGGAAAAGCCAATTACAATTATAATTAAGGAAAAAATCAAAACATTCTCAACACTTAGTACATTTATAAGCAGAACAATGATGTATTAGACTCCAGGGGCCAAATTTCCAAAGGAGGATGGGACGGGGGTGGTAGCAAGCCGCTCACGCCGCTGTGTGCACAGGGGTGGTAGACACGCAGCGACGGCCAGTCTTTGGGGTGGGCGGCTTTTGGCGAGTGCACCTGTCCCAGCCGGCTTTGAAAGTTTGCCCCCCACTCATGAATTCAAAGTACATGGTGCACGCCGTAGCGAATTTTCCGACAAGACACGGTCGTCACGGCACATATTACAGCGAGGATCCTACTGGGTAACATGGCTAGCAGCCGCAACGTGGTCTCTTGCCCTCTCAACAACGGGGCCCGCCCCCAGGTACAGAGCAGAGCGGGCGGCAAGGCGAGCGAGCCACCAGCCACCCGCGTCTGTACGCACTCGCCGTTGTTTGCTTTCGAGACCATTCCAGTGGGTTTGGCAAAACTGCCTCTTGGAGCGAGGAGGGGAAAAAACCAATTCCCAAGGTTTACGATCCACCTCAGCAGAAACAGCCCCCGCAAGGCGCGAGCGGCCGGGATTGGCCAGACAACCATGGCACACAGTAGAGATCGGTCACCTTTCTGTCAGACCCAGAAAGCTTTGCCGGGACACCACGCAGCGGGGCGAGGAAGCACTGCCAACACATGCACGGAGCAGGGAGACGGCTGCTTCCTGGGGGGCTGGCGGGGCCTTGACGAGTGACGACTGCCCTGGCCAACGAGCCCGATGGAAGGGCAGGAAGATTGGCTCAACCCTCGTGACTCGGCCAGTGCCCCGTTTGTGTCAGTGTCAGCCCCGGGAGAGACCCACTCCGACCGCCCCGCCTTTGGCCTGGAGGGTTCAGCTGAGCTCAGCCAAGGGGAAGACCCTGTCTGCCCACACGGCCAGTGGTGAGCGCTGCTCGACCCTGATCCCAGCGTCTCGACTGCAGGTCGCTAGCTGCCAGCAGCCCTGCTGCTCATCTGCCTGTGGCTGAGTATGTGCTGCTCCCTTACCCCCAGCAGTGTCCCGGGCAACCCTGCACAGGCCTGGGGGAGATGCTGGAAGGGCTTCAGATCTGTCATCGGGCCCAGCTGCAGGTCCAGAAGCAGCCTTAGGGGCCGGGGTAGGGATTGGGGGGCACCCCACCAAGTGACTGGAGGGATGGGGAACCGGAGGGCCCACACTGGTGACTGGGGGGATGGGGCACAGGCTCCCACCCAGAGACTGGGGAACGGAGAGGGCCCCACAGCTAGCCACTGGGAGGATGAGGCAGGGCCCTGCACCCAGTGACGGGGAGGGTGAGGGGGGATGGGACACGGGGAGGCCCCGTAGCCAGCGACTGGTGGCTGGGGGCCGTGTTCGGGCACAGCGAGGGTGCCTGTCAAAGCCGGGCCTTTGGCCGCGCCAACGAAAGGAAGAGCTGCGAGCCAAGGTGGCGTGTACTCCGAGGGCAGCCCCCTGCCGCTTCCCTCCCCCCGCTGTCTGACGGGGCCCCGCTAGCCGGCGCCCAGCGCCATTCCCCAGAGCGAGGGCGAGGCACAGGGCCCGAAGCTGCTCTCAGCGCGGAGTGGGCCCGGCTGCGGCTGGAGCCAGCACTTGGCTCACGAGTCCGGTATCCTGGAGGCCACGGCGGCCTCAAAGCCAGGGCCCCCACAGACTGCTCTGGCCTGGAGGGTGGCCAAGGAGCTCTGAGCTGCACTAGACGGTTGACAGCGAAAGCAAGAGCTCTCGGCTTATGTCTGCTAACGGGCTTTCAGATCTCCCGGCCCTGCGCCCTGGGAGCGTCCCCTCCCCGACGGGCTGGCCGGAGGGCAATGGGCTCTCTCAGGTCCAGCTCCCTCCCAGAGAAGGCCGAAGGTCCACCCTTCAGCCACCCGGCTGCATCCAGCTATGGCAGATGGGAGAGCGTGAGTGACCCTGTGATCTTCACAGCAAGGCCTGGTTCTTCATATAGCCTGGGCACGAGTACACTGGGCGTAGGAGTCGCCACCCTAATCCTGCAATAGCGGCTCTGACAGCAGCGCGTCCTTCCTGGACTGCTTTCAGTCCCAGCGCCAGTGTCATTCTGACGTGGTTTGCCGGCAATGTCCTCGGCACACTGAGGCAACACGTCAGCTGCTGCCAATGGGCAGAGCTCTGCTGACATACAGAGCCCTGCAAATTTACAGCAGCCGAAGGGCTGGGTCTGAGAAGCAATCTGAAGAGAACTAGGGCATTAAAAAAATCAGTGGAAACACTCTTGCAGGCGGGACTCAAATCCAACCTACAGCCAGGCCACAGGATTCATCCCACGGTCATTTCTTTTCCCTGGCCTGGCCAAACGCAGGCCCCCAAGACACACGTGCGGAAAGCAGACCCTCTTGTTAGTTCCACAGATTATCACATTGCACGGAAATTAAAGGGATACAACCCTCGGAGCCATCCAGACGCCGGGAGAGTCAGTCGCACGGCTCAGCCACCCCCGTTCCCACGGGCGCCCAGAAACGCGCTGTCTCTTTCAGGGTAGGGAAGTTAAGAAGATTGCGTAGAGGAACCTACCAACACTTGCAGTGGGTGTCATGCACAGCACTGACCCTGCACACCATGCAGTGAAGCGTGGAAAGATGAACAAAAGGGATATTTCATTAGTGAAGCCATAGTGTTAGAAATAAACGTCACTCAAAGCAGGTGTTCTCTCTGCAGCAGTCAGTATTAAAGCACATGCACAAGAACAGAGTCTGCAGAGTGGGACATCGATATTTTAAACGCAGTTTTAAGATCCCAGCAAACCAAAACTATTCTTGGAGTCTTGGGTAGAGTGTTCCCGTTCTTGGAATTACGTGACGAGTAGCCGCATGAGAGCCGGGGCCGGTCTGCATTCTTTAACATCAAACATGTGAGTTTCTTTGGGGGCGGGGGCTGAACATTGTAGCACAATTGACACAATTGTGCCAATATGCAAACTGACCACATTGGAGGCGACAGTGTTTCACGGGTAAGAACCGCGCCTTTTGGAGTCTTTGCCTGTCCTGCTGGCTCGCCAAACTTTTAACAGGGCTATGTTGCCAGCAGCCTTTAAAGCCTCTCTAGTGAGCTGAAAGATGCAGTTTATTTGGCCTTGACACAGCTCTGAGATGCTGGCTGGGGCTTCCCTTGTGTGGCGCCCCAGCTGAGCAGCATGTAACTGAGACAAGACCAAAGCCAACATTCTGCCTGGCTTCATGCGGGAGGAGTCTGCCGGGCTGCCACCCGCCAGCCCAGAGACCGGCTGTGTCTGAATGGAGCAGAATGCACAATCGCAAAGGCCAAATTGCAAGGCTGTCATGGAGACGCTGGGGTGCGGGGCTGCACTCCAATGGAAAACCAACTTACAGAGCACCTGGGAGGGGAGTATTTTGACAGCTAAGGTGGACTCTTCAAATAGTACTTTGCAGAGTATGATCAGCGGTGCTTTCTACTTGCTCTGGTAACCCCAAAAGCTATTAACATGGAAGACCAAGTCTTAGCCCTCCCTGACATCTGATTATTTTGTATTTCTCGCGTGAAAATTCCATCTCCCCTTTGCCAAAAGCTGTTGGCCTCTTTCCTTTATTAGCCAAGCTTCAGAACGCACATGCAAAGGGGTTTAGGTTTCTGGAGTCCGGGTTGGATCATCTAGCTTGAGGACAAACCTGTCTGTGGCGGGCAGATCTGGTCTCCCATTTGCTCTTCCTTCCTGCACTATCTGGTTCAGGGGAGTGTTACCACTAACTTCATCTGGGACAGGAACAGGCCTGCGATGGATTAATTCTGTTCAGAGGGATGTTGGTGTGTAAATATTTCTGTAAATATCTTTGGGGCAAGTGAATGAGACAATGTTAAAAAAAAATCTAGGCACAAATTCTCCGAGGCCTTGTCGAGGAAAAGATGATTAAAATCAAGAATGGTCCCAAAAGGGCCATGAATAATAACGTAACCGGCTAATTGGCACTCTTGTACCCCTACCCCAAACGCACGAATAACTGAACTGCATCTTTCAGTTTTATCTGGAGACGTAAAAGGCAGAACAAAAGTTTGGGCATTAAACTGCTTTTAAAAAGCTTAGGCCAAAAAACCTGGCAGAGGGGGAAACATCTGCCTTTAAGCAAGTCTGTGATTTGTACGTATTGAAGTGATCCATTTCCTCTTTAAAGTCGGGGCCCGCCGAACCGTTTGGGGTCACTGAGCTGGATGGGTTTTGGAAAGGCACAAGCTGGTTTTCTAGCGAGGGATACAAAATACGTTCAAGTGACCTGGTGCCGCTACCCAAGAGTCCATGAAGCAGTTTGGGATTCACCAACTGAACAATAAAGAAGAGCAACAAGAAGTATGAGTTAGAGAAACGTGGCCATTCGTCCTAGTCTGGTTACAAAAAGAACGACCCAGAAGGAGCTTTTAAAAGCCTGGAGCTTTGAATTGTAGTAGGTGAAGGGAAAACGTCTAACACCACATAGGACCATACCGTGGCTTTTAAATTACATCTACTGCAGCTTTGTGTGCATTTTGCTCGGGTCGATTACAAACCCCCTCATTAACTCAGTCTCTAGGAGAACACTTCTTGTCTCGGAAAAACAGATGGAGAAAGTGACAAGAGAACTTACCTGTAGGGATAAATGCAGGCTGTTGCAACTGCATGTTAGCTAGAGCCTGTTGGTAGTGGAAAACGCTTGGGTTAAAGACTGTGGTGGCACCATTGTTTTTTTCAAGTGCTGGCCTCTTTGGTAAAGGTTGAAGTGCACCAGGCGGCAGGGCCTGTGGACGAGGGAGTTGTTAAAGACAAGTAACACACACACAAAAAAAGAAAGAAACCAAAATTAGACACAGCATGCAATAAATACTATGGGGCCTGGCCTGCCAATCTCTTGCGACTGTATCAATTTAGCAGGACAAGAAACAGAAGAGCAGCTATTCACGGGAAAGTGGCAGGTAAAATCACAGGTTTACTCGGTAAGCAGTTAGTAAAGGCACAAAGAGAGGGTCCAAACAAGAGTGCTAGGACGGCTAAGGAAGCTTTGTAATGGGACTGATTTATGCACGCAGAAAAACGAAGGAAATCGTTCGGGCGGGGCACAACAAAAAGCAGTTGCAGGCAACAGGTATTTTAAAACTATCAGCTAAGAGAAACATAGCAGACAGCAATTTTAAAATGAGACGATTAGCGTAAGCAACAACGCAACAGAAAAAAGCTGGCCTCTGCTAATATTGGTTAAGTATCTGCCTCTGTGCGCTGGCACGTTTACATGAAGATGATGTTTGTATTATGGGGGCAAAATGAAGCGATTTCCAGTGGTATGTCTGGGTTTCTATTTGTGACTAGAGATGATGAACGTCCTTAATGTGGGCCTGAGTCTCCTTTAATTTACAAGCGCTTTACACCTCCAACAATGTCCTTGACTTCAGCAGAGTCGCTCCGGAGTTACAAGAGCATGACACTGGATCAGCCCTTGGCACTATGAATATTTCTTGCTGCCCGTTTGTATGGAGCACGTCAAGTGACAAGGCTGGGGTTTGTCTCCTTTAATCCGAGCACATTACAACACCTCCACTCAGTCAAACCTGTTTCCTGCTCGGGCTTGGGAGAAAGCCTTGAACCAGCTTTTCTGGGGAAGGGACTCACCCGTCACAAAGCGTGTCTCTACAACACAGTAGTGAGTGGTTAGGAAATAGGAGCATTGCGACTGATTTACGGCTTTTCATCGTGCCAGGATGAGAATTTACTCCCCTCCCCATGCACACAGTGATCAGAGACACTGCCTTTCAATTACCCCGAGACGTTCTGCATGTAACTCCCCTTTGACTTCAGTGCAATCTCAGGCAGGCGGAAGCCAAACAGAAGCAGGTCATTTCTGCCCAGCTGACGGGACGTTGCAAAGCGCCAGCTGGAAAATAGGATGAGCCGTGTCGACGGCTCCTATTGCGTCAAAGGAACGGGAGTCGAGGTTGCGAAGCACAAGCAGCGTTAGCTAGCAAAGGGTTACGGCCATGCAGAGCGCGTCAGAAAGGACAGGAGGGAAGCGGCTGCTCCAAGGGCATGGATGGCAATGTACACTAGACTGGATCATGGCAACGCCCAACAATTTGTGGCGGTCCAGAAACAGGTTTCACGTCCGTTTCCAAGGGCCATAGGAGGCTGCGCATCGGAGAAACGTCACACCAGCTGCTTCCAGACAAAAGGGGCCTTTGTGACGCCGGGTGCCAGGGTTACTTTGGTTTGGCTTTTGTTTTAACCCAATCCATTTCCCCGAAGCAACGGGCCTTGCACAAACGGCTCTCGGAGAAACACCAGACTCCCACTGGACCCTGTGTGCGGCCCAGAGCAGAGTGCACGAGGGGGATCTCTCGGGACGGAGAGGGTCAGTTTGAGAGACTGTGAGTGTCACTGGGGAAAGTTTTCTAAGGTGGGTCCCGAAAGGTGAGCACTTAAATCCACATTTAGAGACCTAGCGAAGAGGTCTCATTTATAAAGGTGCCGAGCCCAAACATTTCAAATGTCACTGAGAATGATGGGATGAAGAGACTTTTCTCTATGAAGACTATATATATATATAACCAGGCTACTTAATAGCATAGGTATGTATATGTATGTCGTGCTGATCCTCCAGGGCCAACCTCTCAGCTGGTGTAAACAGAAGTACCTCCACTGACTTAGAATCCCAGAATCCCAGGGCTGGCAGAAACGTCAGGAGTCATCGAGTCCAGCCCCCCGCCCAAAGCAGGACCAACCCCAATTCAATCATCCCAGCCAGGGCTTGGTCAAGCCGGGACTTAAGAACCTCTAGGGATGGAGATTCCACCCCCTCCCTAGAGAACCCAGCCCAGCGCTTCCCCACCCTCCTAGGGAAATAGATTTTCCTAATCTTCAACCTAGACCTCCCCCACTGCAGCTTGGGACTATTGCTCCTTGTTCTGCCCCCACTGAGAACAGCCTCTCTCCAGCCTCTTTGGAACCCCCCTGCAGGGAGCTGAAGGCTGCTCTCAAATCCTCCCCTAATTATTTTGGTTGTTCTCTGCTGGACTCCCTCCAATGCGTCCACGTCCTTTCTGTAGTGGGTGCCCCACATCCTTTCTGACGTAGCCGCACCAGGGATTAGACTCAAGAGAAGCTACGCTGATCCGCTCTGACCAAAGGTCTGGTCCAGGTAGGCTCCTGTAGAAATCTTGCCTGAAAGGGAAACTTTCTTTTTCTGGTATTTCCTAGAAAACCCAGGCAGGAATTACTCACTCCAGGGAAGTGGCTTGCCGTGTGCCCGGCAGAGAACGATAGACTCGTTGCTCTACTGAGCAGAAGGGGCACATGTGGGATCACACAGGAATGGCCCAGAGATGGTATCTGGGTACCCGGCTCTGCTTCCGTTCCAGAGTCAGGCGACGGCCTTTGGGCCGTAGAGTCCCATGACGGCTCTCCCGGGTGGCTGTCCCTGAAGACATTTCCCTGGTGAGTCTAACTGCCTATGCCTCCAGGGAGGGCAGGGATTGGGGAGAGGTGGGGTGGGAAAGTGCTGAAGCCACTAGGCCCATGGTGTCCAACCAGTTCTGAAGAGTGGCTACTGCTCTAGCCAACTAGCCACGTTATTCTGAAAACGGGAATAATTTTGTGAGCCTCCTAGCCAAACTCAACTGGCCAAGTAGCCACATGTAGGGTTGCCAGAACATCCCGAACATGGCAGAACAAAAATTGGTTGAGAACAAAACAAAACAAAACAAAAAAAGCACTGCTGTGGCCATTTTACATGTCTGGTATTTTCTGGGCCCACAAATACCGGACTGTCCACGTGAAAACTGGACACTCACATGTGGCTTGTGGTGGGCGTGTTGGACACCACGGCACTAGGCCCATGATTTGTCCTGATTCAGAGGGATCCTTTTACCTGCCACCAGAATGCAGCTGCCTCTGGGGCGAAGCACGAGTTTAACAGCACACAGCCACGCACTAGTGTGAAGTGGATTCGTTTGGGGCCAGGAAAGCAAGACTATTTCTAATCAAAAAGTGTGGCAAGGCAGAGCTGGAGTCTGGCCAGGACTGTGGGGCAAATAAAGCTAAGTCTTGTGAGAAGTGAGACGAGATCTTTAACAGCCTCCATCAGTCAAGGCCTCGGTCTCAGCAGCTCATGGGGACAAATAAAAACAGCAAGGAGTCCAGTGGCACCTTAAAGACTAACCCATGTAGTAGGGCGTAAGCCCGTGAGCATATCCTCTAGCAGCACATTTCCCATGCCACCAAGGACTGACCCCAAAGGGAACGGGCTGGCCTGCCGAGTCATCCACACTGGGCAGCTTGTGGCTGGGGAGGGGTCATCGAAACGGCATGGGGTCATCTCTGCTCCCTGGCCTGCCTGGGGCCGACCCGCAGTTGCATGCTAGGCACTGCTGCGGGCACTCATGACGATGGGTCTGGCCAAGGGAAAAGCCAACCCTCCAAGCAGCGTGAGAACCCCCCTGCCTGTAGGAGCAGCCGAGTGACAGAAGATAAATACGGGATGCCGCCCGCTTGGCTGAATCCCAATAAGACTGACAATTGGCCAACGGGTTGGTTAATAATTCTCCCTCAGAACCCTGTGTCCATGCGGGATGTTTACTCGCTAAAGTTCTGCTTTGAGGCTATGTCTGCACTGCCCCCGTTTTGCACAAAAAAATATGCAAATGAGGCAAAGTGCGGACTATCGCAGCGCCTCATTTGCATAATTCATGAGGCTTGTTTTTGCGCAGGAGGCTTTTGCACAAAAAGGAGCCATCTACACGGCTCCTTTTTGCGCAAAAACCTCCGTCTAGCGCAAGAGTCGTTCTGCCGCATTGTTTTCAGAAGAGTTCTTGCGCCAAAACGGAGCCTCATTAATTATGCAAATGAGGCGTGGTGATATTCCATGCTTCGCCCAATTTACATATTTTTTGTGCGAAACAGGGGCAGTGCAGACATAGCCTGACTGTAATGGGAAACTCATTGGCGACTGGGTTTTTGGCTAGTCATTATAATTCTTTAAGGGTCCCACTGAGGAGGATGGATTTAGGACCTGCTCCATAGACTCTCAGGGCATCTCTCCACTACGCGGGGTTCAATTTAGCGGGGCTTGTGGATTTTGGAACATTTGGTGCTGGATCCTTCATGTAAAAATCAGCCTCAAAAGTAATTTCCCAGGGTGGTGCATAGAAATCCCCTGGCAAAGACGTCGCTCGGGTCGCTTCTGAGAGTAATGGAGTTCCCTGCCCAGTCCCTTTGAAATTATTCTTTCTTACATGTGTTACCAGGTTACAATGATCTCCAGTCGTAGCCCGGAGACGTGGTCCTAAATCCATCCTCCTCAGCGGGTCCCTTAAAGGATTATCATGACTAGCAAACGACCCCAGTGACCAGTGAGTGTCCCATTTCCATTCCTACTCCAGCAGGGTGGTTTCTTGGTAACTGCCTGCCGCGCTTTGGGCAAGACGTGGGCAAAGCAGTGTCGCAAACGGGGCGGATGGAAATCCAAGATTTTGGACAGTCTCAACAGGACGGAATAGATTAAAAAAATCCACGTTAGTAACAACCTCCTGTCGGGCAGCCCACATACAGCAAAAACCCCACGTTGAAGTTGGAAGGGTTATATGTGTCATTGGTAATTGCTGGCAAGTGGTAATCTCACTGCAAACACACACACAGATTAAAAACAAATATTTCTGTGGAGAAGAATTGAAATTTGCAGATGAGCAAAAGTAGGAAAAACGTTGCTTGGGAACCAACTAGGGGGCTTGCTATAAGGCTACTGATTTGCTCCCTTGTGATATGTGAAGTTGGCAAGTTGTGTTCTAACAGCTGGAACTTTTTTGAATCTCCGTGGCCACTGTCATTAAATAATTGTTGTCTGAGCTTCCTATTATCCGATCCCGCCATAATTTCCTGCAACCGTTGAAATTTATAATCAATAAAGTGTAAGCCCCATCATTTTGTGCAACTGTACAAACGAATGGAGAAACACTGAAAAAAATGCTTAAAGATAGCATCCGTATTATCCCTCAAAATGATAAAACACAAAAAAAATCGACTTCTGCCAAGCCTCTCTCTATTGTATTCCCAGGGTTCTCGGACACATTCAATGCCTTTCGGACCCGAGGTGTGAAATACATCAGACTCTACCCCAGGTTTCACAAGGCCACAGATGCTGCAGGCAGATTAAAACCAGCGGGATAATGAAATGGCTCCAGAAATGCATTGGGGTTTCCTGAAGAAACGCTCAGATCGTTATGAGCGTCCAAAGGCCGAAACCGAGAATTGCCCCCCCCCTTGGCACAGACCGTCACGTCTGAAAGAACATCGTCACATTTCAGCGCAGGATGGGCAGCCTCCTCATGGCGCAACACAAAGTACCAAACGAAAAGGCAGTCATGCAATCTAAGATGGTCACATGCAAAGCAAGAAGGTGAAAGGTCCAAGTACCAGGTCAAAGGTTGCCTCGAGGGGTCGTTTCAGCGATCGGACAGCTGGCTGAGTCTTAATTAGCAGGCAGCGAGCACATGATGGCAATGGGCCAAAGGGGGGGATACAAGCACAACAACAAAAAACAGCAAGCAAAGATGCGTCAAAAGGAGAGCAACATTGTGGACAGGTGAAGAGAAAAAAAAAATGAATGCATTATACAATATATTAAAAAGACTAGGCATGCACAACATGGGGTGTTCGTTGCAGTTAATCGGATTAAATCTATTGTCTCTCAATAATCTTGAAGGTAAAAAATATCCTCACAGATCCCAGACAGTATTACTGGCACTCACAATGTATCAATCTACAGCTACTTCAGAATTAGCAGGTGGAGCTAGATTTTTTTTTTTAAACAATATTTTTCACGTATCGTTCAATTGTAAGGATCAGCGGGCCAGACTTAGGACACATCTACACGTCTGCAAAGATCAATGCTCCGGAGGTCGATCTTCCAGAGTTTGATTTAGTGGGTCTGGAAAGGACCTGCTAAATCAAACACCCAAGGGCGCCCTTGTCAACCCCAGAACTCCTCGTAGTCACGAGGAATAAGGGAAGTCGGTAGGAGAGTTTCTCCCGCTGACCTCCCGCTATGGGGCCACCTCCCCAAAAAAATCAATGCCGGGTATGTTGATTCCAGCTATGCAGTTACCATAACTGGAGTTGCACATCTTGCATCGATTTTCTCTGCCAGTGTAGACCCGGCCTTAGGGTTGGTCTCTCCAGCTACACAGCACACATGAATGAGGGGGCAGAGAAGGCATCCCTGCTCAGGAAAGGAACTCCAGCACAGGCTTAAGAGCTTTTCTGAATTGGGACCCAACAATCGGCGCCTGCTCCCGTTGACTTCAATGGGATTGGATCATGCCGCACGGGAACTAAGTGGCTTGTGCATGAAGTGCCCTCCAGGATGGGCCTGAGCTTTTCCGAGATGAAAGGATCCACGATCTACTCGGCAGGGGCCTGTTCGGATGCTCTGAGCCATATGCGATTCTTGATGAATGATCAGAAGCCATTCTGATCTTTTTAAAGTATTATCCTCAACAGATAAAAGAAATGCACCAAACTGCCAAAGGTGAATGAATAATGGAAACCGTTTTGGTAGTAAGGGCGTTGCAACAAGCAAATCCATAAATATTTTAAGGGTACTAGTTCACGGCATACAAATAGGGTTAATTACATTTATAACAGGAGCCAGCAGCATGAATAAAACATGCACTGGCTTTAATTTAGTAGAAGTATCCTAGGTAACTAGTAAAAAGTAAAGCTTCATTTGTAACGAACATGTGAGTTTCCATTTCCCTGTAACACAGAGCTGTCCTTTCAACAAAAAAGTATGAAAGAGGGATTGCTACTCCCCTCCCTTTTTACAAATAAACTGTGTAGGGCAGATCCTGCGTGGATTCAAAATTTATCCCCATCCCCATCCACATCCGCAAAAGAAGAGTCACATACACAGGCTGTCCTTGCTGTAAGTCCAAGATACGTTACAAAAAACTAGGACTTATAGTGAAACAACTTAAAGCAGGGCATTTTTTCCCCCACGGCTGGCTTCAATTTGCACAAATTATTATTATTATTATTAATTTTGGTGCGACTTAAGATCAGGGAATAGGAGAATTCACAACACACCAGTTCCTACAAACGTCAATGACTTTATAGCTGGGACGCCCTATATCCGCACTGACATGTACAGATGCGGCTATCTGCAGATAGAAAGTGAAAATCTGCAAATTTACAGGGTTCGAGACATACAATTTGTATCTGCATCCATAGCCTCATTGACATTCATGGATCTAAAGCAGATGCCTGCAGATTTGCAGGACTCTACAGATAAATGCTGTAGTATAAATAGGTTCCTCATGCAAATCCTTCCAGGTAATATTGATTCTCCCAGAGGACAGCTGTTTGATTTATACAATCCAGGGCACAAATGTGATATTGCTTAGTGCCGGCAGGATAACAGCTTCCAGTTTTTGCATTGTGTTTCATCATGAGTGGAAAGTTCTCACTTGCTAGCTGCAGGGAAAGTTGCTCCATAAAAGCCTATTAGCCTTAATTCATTAGCATTTCCAAATCAGCAAAAGTAGTAAGAACTAGGGTAATCGATAATGGTTATCCAAACGGTTACATGTGGAAATTTTCAGCGGGTTACACGGTTAGCCACTTACACACATTTTAACATCCTAGTAAGAACCATTTTTCAATATGAATTATCCACACATGAATACACAATAGCAATAACTATTGCAGACACACCACCTCAGCTCTGCAGCTGGGCTTTGCTACCTTCTGAAATATACGTACGGCACCGGACCTGTCGCTGGGTCAACGGACGCAACTCCACTGAATTCGACAGAGTTGCATCCGTTCACATGCTGGCCCACGTGGACTGAGTTCTCTTGGCTTGTTTTTAGACCATTACCTATTACTGTGCTGCTCTGGGATGCAAAGACGCCAACTCAAATGCACGCAGGGCTTGATTCTGCCTGGCGCTGGGCATCTCCTTCTAGCCATGAAGCATCTTTATCACCCTTTGCCTTGAGGGACTCATTACCTCTCAGGAGTGAACCTTAATCACGGGCAATGCGGTTTCATTTCCAAGAATGAGGGGGTGAAATTTTGGCTCCACTGAAGTCAACAGCTTGGCCGTTGACTCGAGCGGGGCGTGGAGACGACCTGTTCAGTTTGTTGTCGGACTGGATCCGGACACTAGACTCAGAGGGCAGCCAAGGCTTGCCCAGGGAAAAGTCTGTGCTTGCTGTTAGGGGCATCGCATTAACGGTGGATGCATTTCACTCCCTCACGCCATGCCAGAAAACCTTGCGCGTTACCGTCACGTCCTCAAGCAACAAGATGCGATGCATCGTGCTACACCGGATACAAGGAAGGGATGGAGATGGAAACGCTTTCCACACACCACTTAGCCTAAGGGGTGGCAATAATTTCCGTAGGGGGGCCATGTCCTCAATTTTGGTAGTGGTCGCGGGCCAGCCCCGGAAGGGGCGGGGCCTTGGGTGGAAGGGGCGGGGCATCAAGCAGGAGGGGTGGTTCCCTCTAGGCACCACATGCCCCTGGGGGGAGGAGACTTTGTGCATTCCCTCCGCCCCCAATTGGCCTTGGCGCGAGACAGGGTGGGCTGCAGGCTGGATCGAACAGCGTGGTGAGCCGGGTCTGGCCCGCAGGCTGTACCTTGTCCACCCTGACTGAGCCTTTTCCGAAGACGGAGCATCCCTTCTCTACTTCCTGGGCACCTAAAGCTTTTTCCCACTGGCTCTATGCTTTGACACGGCAGGTCATGCCCTTACCATTGCAGCTGTCTGGTTCGCCTGGTGTTGAGCTGCCTTGATTTTGGCTTGCAGGTGTGCAGGGGGATGAAAGTACTTGCATTTCTCCCGAGAGCATCGGCCTTTGATGTAATCCATGCACACGGTAACAGTGTTCTCATTCGTGTCGATCATTGCGATGTCGATGGGGTGGGCGTAACGGCAGTCGTTCTCCCCACGGGTGCAGTTTCCACGCTGAAACTCTCGGCAAACCTTAAAGGAAAGGCACTTTGCTAAGCACACTGAGCGGGCTTCCTTTCGGCATGCTTAACCAGGGACGTCAGCACAGGGGGTTGCATTACAGTGACCTGAGCTGTGGGTCCGACCAATGGTCCCTCTAATTTTTCCCCACCTATGTGCAGAATAAATTTTGTTCTGTGCGCTGAGGCATGTGGGGATGTACACCACCAAAACACAAGGTGCTGGATGTGGGCGCTCTGCTAATCAGCTGGGCAGCACCTGAATCTCTGCTGGGTGGCCGCCCAAGTGCTCAGCTCACAGGGAACCCTGGTTGTGACTCTACACCCTTTAGTCCCACGGGGTAGCACTTTCCAGTGCTACTCCCTATCCGGTTGGGTGCAGGATCATGATCTGGGTTCCCAACAGTATTAACAGTGTGGCAGGGAGCATGGAGCCAGGACACATGCAGAACTGAAACCGCCTGGGGCGGATCTTGGCCCTACTGAAGTCAGTGGGAGTTTTTTTTACACTAACTTACGCTCCCCGGCTACCACCCTTTTCCCCGCCCAACCTGGCCTCCCCAGACACGGGGCCAATATACTACCCTAGCTTTAAGCAAATTATATTTTACTATTTCTGCCATTTTTGCCTTACTGAGATCACGGAGTTTAAAATTAGCCCACAGAAAGACATTCTCTCAAGCACGACCCTTAATGTACAAAAAGTAAGCTACTAATAGTTGAAACAGGTCCTGCCTTAAACTGACCCACGAGCTGCATGACCATGTGGCCAGTGGCGAAGTGTTAAAACCCAGCAATGGGCTCCATAGGGATGTGAAGGGTTAATCAGTTAAGGTTAACCCGTTAAGGTTAATGGGGGGAGGATATGTGACTGGGCTGGAGCAGCCCCTGTCAGTAGTGGGGCAGAGGAGGTGCTCCAGCCAGGCAGCAGACGGGGGGAGGGGCACTCCAGTTGGGCCGGAACGGTCCCCCCACTCGGCCCCGTTTTTAATCGGTTAACGGGTTAAACAATACGTTTAAGGTGAGCCAATTACACGGGATTTTACATCCCTAGTGCTCTGAAGGCCCCGACGGAATCGCCATCTTGGAAAAGAACAAGCTGCGTGCTTATATGTCCAAGGCACAGAGCCCCATAGCTGTAAAACGGGTCTTCCAGGCTTCCTGGTGCTGACAGACTGTGGGTCACAATTCAGACGCCCGGTCGCCCCGGGACGGGTCAGCAGGCCTGTAACAATCCCCAGGAGGGCGACAAGGTGGGAGAGAAAGAAGGGTGGCAGCCGAAGCGGCTGAGAGACCTTTTTACACCGACGTCTTGAGAAATAATTGGCGCCAGTTTGTGGCTCCCATGGAATTTGGCCGTCAGCCCTTCGCTCCCCAAATGGACGTTGTGCCGAAATGTAACCTTCTGTAGGTGTCACGTCATGGACGGTCTTACTGCTCCCCGGGGGGCCCCCCCGGACAAACGCTGACTGGGCCGAGGGGGTCTCTCTCGTCGGAAAAGACGCCCTTAGGCTCAAAATGTTTGCTTGGGATTATACTTAAACTCCACGGCCACCAGCCCAGCCCTTCGCTCCCCAAATGGACGTTGTGCCGAAATGTAACCTTCTGTAGGTGTCACGTCATGGACGGTCTTACTGCTCCCCGGGGGGCCCCCCCGGACAAACGCTGACTGGGCCGAGGGGGTCTCTCTCGTCGGAAAAGACGCCCTTAGGCTCAAAATGTTTGCTTGGGATTATACTTAAACTCCACGGCCACCAGCCTTCCCCCTGCCCAACCCGGCCTCCCTGGACGCCTGGAGCCACTGAGTGAGACAAACACAGAGCCCTCAGCACGACCCACCCGCATAGGACCTGACCCAACTTCCTGGAGCTCGGCAAGTGGCTCTCCATCGACTCCAAGGGGAACCTTTGAGAAGAGGGAAGAGGCCGTCGCCTCCTATCCAGGCTTGTATTCGAAGCACGTCTACCTTCCCCTGTCCCTAGGAAAAGGTCTGCCCCAGGCAAGGCCACCCCTACACGTACCACAGAAAGGATTCTATCGAGTTGCGAGCCCCCAGAATAAGGCAGGGCCTGCCCCCACGCTCACTGAAAACAAGGGGCGACTGGGCTCACAGCCCTGCAGCGACCTCCAAACGCTTTGGCTCAGGCCCACAAGGGGCCACCTGTTGCAGGGTGTGGTAGCACCAGCAAGTTAAAAACTTCTGAACTCAGAGCAAGGGGTCTCAAAGTCGCACGCCTCGCACAGGAAATGGGCCTGATTCTGCTCAGAACGACACCCGTGCACGGAAGGTCCCAAGGCTGGTCTGGATTTACACGGCTGCAGCAGGGAACAGAATTTGGCTCAAGGCGCCCCTTACATCCCCTTTCACAATATTACGTGTTACAGCCCAAATACCTCCAGTTTATCTGTACGCATCAGTTTCTGAGCAGCTGAGCCTCCCGGTACTGTAACAGTAGGATTCCCGGAAACCAAGACAGGCGTATTTGGTAAAAGTTCTGCCGGAACCAAGCCCATCCCAGGAGACACGTGACTGAGATAGGGACTAAAAGCCATGGTGGGACTCGTTGCGAGTGATGGAGTCACAGGAAACGTAGTCTGTAAGGAAGAAAAAAGAAAAGAAATGGGTTACCCCGGTGCTCGGGTGTGGACTATGCCAGCCCGCGTCTAGCGTGTAACCCTGGCAACCCTCGGAGACAGCGTGGTTAGAACATCACAGTGCTTTGCCTGTCAGTCTATTCATCGGCTCTCAGATACTTGTGACCCAGTCGTGTCTCTCGGCTCACACGCACGAGAGACGTGCGAAACACAAGCCATCGCCATTTGCCAGAACAAAGAGTATTGATGAGCTCCACAGGTTAATGACACAATTAAGAACTCAGGCCGGCAGGCAGAGCAGGCCCACGTTAACCCGTCGTCTCGCTCCCAACCAGTTTCTGCCAAATTAATTTCTCCTTTACCTGGCCCCTCGCTGGTACCGATCCCATGATGTGCTAAGCATCTCGCCAGGATGGGCTGCATATCATTATGTAAGCACATCAGAACAGCCAGACTGAGTCAGCCCAAAGGCCCATCAAGCCCAGTGTCCTGTCTGCCCACAGTGGCCAGTGCCAGATAACCCCGAGGGAGCGAACAGAACAGGGAATCATCATTTCCAGACAAACAGAGGCCAGGGACACCATTCCGACCCATCCTGCCTAATAGCCATTGATGGACCTAACCTCCATGAATCTATCTAGTTCTTTTTTGAACCCTGTTAACGGCCTGGTCTTCACAACCTCCTCTGGCGAGGAGTTCCACAGGTTGACCGTGCGCTGCATGGAAGAAAAACTTCCTTTTGTTTGTTTTAAACTTGCTGCTTATTCATTTCATTTGGTGACCCTTAGCTCTCATGTTTTGGGAACAAATAAATAACTTCCTTATTTACCTTTTTCGCACTAGTCATGATTTTATAGACCTCAAACCTATCCCCCCCTTAGTCTCCTCTTTTCTAAGCTGAAAAGTCCCAGTCTTTTTAATCTCTCTTCATATGGCACTTGTTCCAAACTCCTCATTTTTGTTGCCCTTTTCTGAACCTTTTCCGCTGCCAAGAGATCTTTTTTGAGAAGAGGCGCCCACATCTGCACGCAGTATTCACGCTGTGGGCGTATCATCACTACCACTGGCATGCATATCTGGCATTGGGCTGGACTTGTCTCAATGTTAAGAGCTCTGAGATTTACTGAACCTACAGCTAGGTCAGGGCTGGCCCGAGCCCCTTTGGTGCCCTGGGCCTGGGCGTGCGGCGCTGCCCCCGGGTGCACGGCGCATGTGCAGGCCAGCCAGGGCTGCCGGCG